TCAATGCTCAACCTTGCCCATTCAAAACCAGCCTTCCCTTACCCGCGGGTAATACGTACGGCCCCGTGAAAGTTTTTCACGGGTAAGTCACGAGAAAGTTAATATCTCGGGAACCTCGGAGTCTAGGAGGCTGAAGTTTTAGGGCAATGACCACCTGTCTAACCCCAACCTTGCCCATTCAAATTCAGCCTTCCCTTACCCGCGGGTAACACGTACGGCCCCGTGAAAGATTCATAGGTAAGTTAATATCTCGGGAATCGCGGAGTCTAGGAGGCTGAAGTTTTAGGGTTATGACCCCCTGTCCACCATCAACCTTGCCCATTCAAATTCAGCCTTTCCTTACCCGCGGGTAACAAGTACGGCCCCGTGAAAGTTTTCACGGGTAAGTTAATATCTCGGGAAGCGCAAAGTCTAGGAGGCTGAAATTTTAGGGCTATGACCCCCTGTCCACCCGCAACCTTGCCCATTCAAATTCAGCGTTCTCGCGCTCTCGGTTACCACCTACGGCCTCTTGAAAATTCTGACGGATAAACTATTAACTCGGGATTCACGGAAAGATATTCATCCTTCAAGGTTTCGAATTCAACTTTCATACGCTGGTGCGTGAAATTTTAACTGTTTTCAATATTTGAACTATTTTTGCATGGACTAAAGTACAAGGAAGTGAAAATCATTAACAGGCAATCGTTCGATGGGCTGAATTGCACAAAACACATGATGGCGCACCGGCTTAATATGGTGCGCGTTGCCATTTATTTTTTTGGTTTCTGAAGTTTCGAGTTGGGGTTCTTCACATTTGTCATGACCAGTGCAACCATGCGAAACCTCCAATGTTATGACATAAAAGCGCTCCCTTGCTTATATATTATATTCAAGACTTACGTGACCACAAGTCTACGTATTTCATCTTGACAACTTTACGGTGGTCGTTTTCTATCAACCGCAAGGAAAACCAAAATTTTACGCCGACCACACGTCTACGTGTCCCATTCTGACAACTGTACGTGTGGTCGTTTTCTATCAACCGCAGGAAAAACCAAAATTTTACGCCGTCCGCAAGCTTACGCATCACATCCTGGCAACTTTACGTGCGGTCGCTTCCATTTAATTACAAGGAGAACGAAAATTTCACGCCGACCACACGTCTACGTGTCCCACTGTGACAACTATACGTGTGGTCGTTTTCTATCAACCGTAGGAAAAACCAAAATTTTACGCCGGCCGCAAGCTTACGCATCGCATCCTGACTACTTTACGTGCGGTCACTTCCATTCAATTACAAGGAGAACGAAAATTTCACGTCGACCACACGCCTACATGTCCCATTCTGACAAATGTACGTGTGGTCGTTTTCTGTGAATCGCAAAAAAACCAAAAACATACCTTTGAGCGTGCAGGCAGATAATTGCTTACTCGTTCTGCAGCATTTCAGGATGGAATCATTCCGTTTCACATACAGCTGGCTCGCTGTACTCAGTAGCTTCATTTCAGGTTAGTTTGTGTGTTACCAAAAAATCAATAACGCGTTAAAACAAGCTAAGTTTTTGACATTTCCTGCAAGAAAGTTAATTTCGTCACAAAAAATGACAAGAGCACAATTAGCGCGATAGTACAAGCCGCCGTCGAAGAAAAATTTCGAAACTAGAACGAACCACATAT